CGTTACAGGAGACTTTAACCACATCACTCTGGATAAAGCTCTGCCAACTCTGCACCAGTATGTTGACTGCCCCACACGGAACAATAAAACTCTGGACTTGCTGTATGCTAATGCCATGGATGCATACAGTGCTACTGCCCTTCCCCCGTTTGGCAGGTCGGATCACAACCTGGTCCTGCTGACTCCAAGTTATGTTCCTCTGGTGCAGAGGCAGCCTGTGACCACCAGGACTGTGAGGCTCAACTGGAGGCTAAGGAGGCACTGCAGGACTGCTTTGAGTCCACAGACTGGAATGTTCTGTGTGGACCACATGGGGAGGACATAAACAACTTAACTGACTGTGTCACAGAATACATCAAGTTCTGTGAACACACCACCGTTCCATCCCGGACTGTCCGCTGCTTCCCCAACAACAAGCCGTGGATTACCACAGGGACCTGAAAGAGCTTCTTAGCAAGAAGAAAGCAGCTTTCAAGTCTGGGGACAGGGAGGAACTCAGGAGAGCTCAGCGCGACCTGAAGGTGAAGATCAGGGAGTGTAAGAACTCCTACAGGAGGAAGCTGGAGGCAAAACTCCAGCAGAACAACGTGAGGGAGGTGTGGTCCGGCATGAAAGAGATCTCAGGCTTCAAGGGAAGACAGAGTAACCAGGGGGCTCCCTGGAGAGGGCAAACGAGCTGAACTGCTTCTTCAACAGGTTCAGCTCACAGCCCTCATCTTTCTCCTCCTCACATCTCACCTCCCAAACACCTCAGCTGACTAACCCCCTCCCCCCGGTCCCCTCTGGTGAGCTGCATGGACACAGAGCCACCAACTTCAAAGGGCTCCTCCACCCCCCCACACCTCTGCTGCCTTCCTCCCTCCCCCCTCTATCTCCCCTGGTGAGCGGCATGGACTGTGAGGCCACTTCAAAGGGCCCTTCCCCAACTGACGCCGTGACCCCCCCCCCCCCCCCCCTCTCGGTGACGACTGACCAGGTTCGGAGACAGTTGAGGAGACTCCACCAACGCAAGGCTGCAGGACCTGATGGCATCAGCCCCAGGGTCCTGAAGACCTGTGCTTTCCAGCTGGCTGAGGTCCTTCTTCAACCCTTCTTCAACCTGAGCCTGAAGCAGCAGAAGGTCCCGGTGCTGTGGAAGACGTCGTGCCTGGTTCCGGTCCCAAAGAAGACGACTCCATCTGGCCTTAATGACTATCGACCGGTCGCCCTCACATCCCATGTGATGAAGGTGCTGGAGAGGCTGGTCTTGGCCCGCAGGTGAAATCTTCACTTGACCCGGGGAGTTTTTCCTGTGCCAATGGTGGGTTTCGGGGCAGAGGATGTTGTATGTGTACAGACTGTAAAGCCCTCTGAGGCAAATTTGTAATTTGCGATAATGGGCTATACAAAATAAAATGACTTGACTTGACTTGACTTGACCCGCTGCAGTTTGCATACCAGCCTCGTGTGGGAGTGGATGACGCCATCATCTACCTGCTGCAACGAGCCCAGTCGCACCTGGATGGAAAGGGTGGCTCTGTGAGAACAACTTTCTTTGATTTCTCCAGTGCCTTCAACACCATCCAACCACTGCTGCTGAGTGAGAAGCTGCGGGAGGTGGGGGTGGACTCGTCCACTGTCTCCTGGCTCACATTCCTGACAGGCAGGCCACAGTTTGTCCGACTGGGCAGCGTGCTGTCTGATACTGTGGTCAGTGGTACTGGAGCTCCACAGGGAACTGTTCTGTCTCCCTTCCTGTTCACCTTATACACCACTGACTTCCAGTATAACTCTGAGTCCTGCCGTCTGCAGAAATTCTCTGATGACTCTGCAGTGGTAGGGTGTATAAGGGATGGACGGGAGGAGGAGTACAGGGCAGTAGTGGAGGACTTTGTGGTGTGGGCGGGCAGAAATCACCTGCTCCTGAACGTGGCCAAGACCAGAGAGATGGTGGTCGACTTCGGGAGGAAGACGACGGCTCCGCTACCGCTGAGGGTTCTGGGAGAGGAGGTGGCCATGGTCGAGGACTACAAGTACCTGGGTGTCTCCATCGACAACAGACTGAACTGGAAGACCAACATCAACGCCGTCTACAGGAAGGGGAAGAGTCAACTCTTTTTCCTGAGGAAGCTTCGATCCTTCCATGTGTGCAGCAAGATGTTGGAGATGTTCTATCAGTCTGTTGTGGCCAGTGCTTTGTACTTCGCCGTGGTCTGCTGGGGGAGCAGCATTGGAGCCGGTGACACCAACAGACTTAACAAACTTGTTAAGAAGGCCGGCTCCATCATTGGCTGCAAACAGGACAGCTTGGAAAAGGTGTTGGAGGGGAGGTCACTGAAGAAACTGTTATCCATATTGGATAATCCTGACCACCACCTGCTACAGGGACAGCGGAGCACGTTCTCCAACAGACTCCTTCAGCTCCGCTGTCACAAGGACCGATACAGGAGGTAATTCCTGCCCAGTGCAATAACACTTTACAATAAATCATCCCTGGCTAAATAATGACAATAACAACCCTGTACTGCTGTGATGTTGCTGCTCTTCCTCTTCTCCTTTTACAAATTATTATTTTGTCTTTTGGAAGGTTATTCTTTTGTTTCAGTTTTAGTTTATTTAACTTAATTTAATTTAATAATGTAATATTTCTGTCTTATTATATTGTATATAATGTGTATCTTTTTATTCTATTTTCTTCCCTGTACATGCTGCTGTGATACCAAAATTTCCCTCTTGAGGGATCAATAAAGTATCAATCAATCAATCAATGTGAAAGGAAAATTTATGGATCTTAAAATGAATCCAGATTGTCATATCCATTATCTGATAACGTTTTTTAGTGTCGCCAACTGCCAGTCAAATCACCAAGGCAAAATATACGTGCCATTTCAGTTGTCATGAATGAGTTCTACTGCAGATTCGAAAGACAATGTCCTGATCCCATCCCCCACAGCTCCACCAACCTGCTGCAGTCCCCCACCTCTCCCTCCCCCAGCCCATCAGGTGCTCACGCCTCTTCATCTATATCACCTTCCCTTCCCCCACCAGCAACGACCGTCTCTGTTCTGGAGAGAGACGTTAAGCGGCTCTTTAAAAGACAAAATTCCCGTAAGGCAGCCGGTCCGGACTCCGTCTCCCCTCACACCCTGAAGCACTGTGTTGACCAGCTGTCTCCGGTGTTCACTGACATCTTCAACACCTCCCTGGAGACATGCCATGTACCAGCCTGCTTCAAGGCCTCCACCATCATCCCTGTTCCCAAGAAGCCCAGGATCACAGGACTCAATGACTACAGGCCTGTCGCCCTGACCTCTGTAGTCATTAAGTCTTTTGAACGGCTAGTCCTGACCCACCTGAAGTCCCTCACCGACCCCCTCCTGGACCCCCTGCCGTTCGCCTACAGAGCCAACAGGTCTGTGGACGATGCTGTCAACATGGTCCTCCACTACATCCTCCAGCATCTGGACTCCCCAGGAACCTACGCCAGGATCTTGTTTGTGGACTTCAGCTCTGCCTTCAACACCATCATCCCGTCTCTGCTGCAGGACAAACTCTCCCAGCTGCACGTGCCCGACTCCACCTGCAAGTGGATCACAGACTTCCTGTCTGACAGGAAACAGCACGTGAAGCTGGGGAAACATGTCTCAGCCTCTCGGACCATCAGCACCGGTTCCCCCAAAGGCTGCAATCTTTCCCCTCTGCTCTTCTCCCTGTACACCAACAGCTGCACCTCCAGTCACCAGTCCGTCAAGCTCCTGAAGTTTGCGGATGACACCACCCTCATTGGACTGATCTCTGATGGGGATGAGTCCGCCTACAGGTGGGAGTCTGACCATCTGGTGTCATGGTGCAGTAAGAACAACCTGGAGCTCAACGCTCTGAAGACAGTGGAGATGGTTGTGGATTTCCGGCGGAACAGAGCCCCACCTTCCACCATCACCCTGTGTGACTCCCCCGTCACTATTGTGGACTCCTTCCGTTTCCTGGGCTCCATCATCACTCAGGACCTCAAGTGGGAGCTGAACATCAGCTGCATCACAAAGAAGGCTCAGCAGAGGTTGTTCTTCCTGGGGCAGCTGAAGATATTCAACCTGCCAAAGACGATGATGGTCCACTTCTACACAGCCATCATCGAGTCCATCCTCTGCTCCTCCATCACCGTCTGGTACGCTGCAGCCACAGCCAAGGACAAGGGCAGGCTGCAGCATGTCATCCGCTCTGCAGAGAGGGTGATCGGCTGCAATCTGCAGTCCCTGCAGGACTTGTTCGCTTCCAGGTCTCTGAAGCGAGCTAAAAAGATCGTAGCCGACCCCGCTCACCCCGGACAAAAACGGTTTGTGCCCCTTCCATCTGGCAGGAGGCTGAGGTCCATTAGGACGAAGACCTCCCGCCACACGAACAGTTTC